AAATATATTTATGTTTGTGGTTGTAATGTGACAAAATATGGAAAAGTTCAAGGGGTATGAATACTTTTGCAAACCACTGTATATATTGGCTACATTGAAAGCTGTCAATGAGGAACTCTATGTGAGAAAAAAAATCCTTAAATTTGAGGAAATTAATGCTGCCCTGTCAACTTTCAAAGGCAACAATCTCAACACAAATTTGGTTACCGTACATGGAATCCAGAGCCGGCCCAAGGCATAAGCGAACTAAGTGGCTGCTTAGGGCCCCGCGGCTACTAGGGGCCCCTGAGACAGAAGCATGGTAAACTGAACTGACCATAGAGTTAACACTGAGATGGGCATAATGGAGGCGGTTTAAGCAAAGGACATGTCCCCCTCACCTTCCGTATCTGTACCCTCTGTCCCCCACACGTTTTTCAACCTTTACAACTGTTTAATCTACTATTAATATGCGGTAACTCATTTTTCCGAGCCGTCTTTAAACGCACCATGCCAGGTGAACACCTGTGGATCACTGGGGGTTGCAGAGCTGGCTGTCTGTGAGTTCTGGAGGATAGGAACAGCTGGTGTTCTGTCGGGTCAGACGGCTGCTACACAGCCACTTGTGTTTTTGTTCTTTTACCCCGTAAAATGCTGCTGGTACTGACGCAGCCGCCTTCACAGCAGCTGGTGGATGAAACTAACGTTCAAAATTGAAAAACAGCAGAAGAAAGGTGAAACTTGGTTTACGAGTTAAAATTGCTTAATAATTGCCTGATATTTATAAAGAGCTGCTTATTTAATAATCTTTTAGGAACTTGTTAGTATTTTTATTTGTAGGTTGCATGATGTCATGTCAGTTTTGGTTATGAATAGATCCATCAGTAAATTTAGGTGATTATCATAATTAACCCTGTTTATTGGGTAAAATAACCAATATTCTTATTTTAAACATGTAGTTAAGTTAGCACTGCTTGGCACAATGTCACGTGTTACAAATAAAACTAAATCAAGAATAGAAAAAGGTACAATGGAACTCTAAACTCGTTTGATAAATTATCACATTAATTTCCTGAACTTGGCCAGCAGTGAGTTTATGGACTAGTTAATGTCTCTAAACTAGTTATAAAATCAAGTGTTTATTTACGTAGGTAAACATATGTGTAGCAACCTGCTAAAATACTCCAGAATGCAGGAAACAGCATCTACTTTCATCAAAATTTCCTGGGGGAGAAGCCCCAGACCCCACACCAGTGTGAGAAGATGCCTTTCTYGGAAAACTGAATTTTGTGCACAGAAGTAATGAAAACTATAACTGATTTTTCTCTTCGAATGGAGTGGTACAGTAACTGATGATGGAAGCCACCAGCTGATCCTGCTCCTCACACCTGTCTGACCAGGTCTGAGCTGAGAGGGTCTGCAGAGCTCCTGCAGAGTTTCACAGAGACTTTGGACTCTTAAAATGTGGTTGGAGGTCAGATTCATAACAGTTTGGCTGATTTTGTTTCCAAAAATCAAGTAGACCCACAATTTGATGAGAACTGCCATTTCAAAGAACAAGGAACAGAACACTTTTAGAAAAAGAAAGTGATGGGGCTGCAATTAAGATTTTAATTCTGGTGTTCAAGATGTTTAGATGTTGTTTTAAACAACATATTTCCATATTATTTGATTATAATTTTCAAATTAATGCATTTTTCTCTAAATGCTTAATACATTTATTAAGCCTTACATTTTGTAAATGCTTTATCATATTAAGATTTGAATGTGTGTTTAATGTTTTGTTTATGTAAATGGCTTGTTACCAGTTATAATTTAGAGAATAAATGTTTCAACATACTAAAATATTTTTTATTCTGTTGAWTTGGCATCATATATTTGTTTAAACTTTAAGTTTGGAAACTTGTAGTAGTCAAAGCAAAGTTAATTCTTGAATTAAAAGTTTCAACACTGAGCATCATTCAGATCATTCAGTAAACTATGGTATACAGTTCTTAGAGGTAACATTTTCTGCACCGGGTTTGTAATTACCATCCATCCATCCATCCATCCATCCATCCATCCATCCATCCATCCATTTTCTTCCGCCTATCCGGGGTCGGGTCGCGGGGGCAGCAGCTTCAGAAGGGAGGCCCAGACCTCCCTCTCCCCAGCCACTTCTTCCAGCTCCTCCGGGGGAACTCCAAGGCGTTCCCAGGCCAGCCGAGAGACATAGTCCCTCCAGCGTGTCCTGGGTCTTCCTCGGGGCCTCCTCCCGGTGGGACGTGCCCGGAATACCTCACCAGGGAGGCGTCCAGGAGGCATCCTTACCAGATGCCCGAGCCACCTCAGCTGGCTCCTCTCGACGTGGAGGAGCAGCGGCTCTACTCTGAGTCCCTCCCGGATGACCGAGCTTCTCACCCTATCTCTAAGGGAGAGTCCAGCCACCCTGGGGAGGAAACCCATTTCTGCCGCTTGTATCCGGGACCTCGTTCTTTCGGTCATGACCCAAAGCTCATGACCATAGATGAGGGTAGGAACGTAGATCGACCGGTAAATCGAGAGCTTCGCTTTCTGACTCAGCTCTCTCTTCACCACGACGGACCGGTACAGCGCCCGCTTTACAGCAGACGCTGCGCCAATCCGCCTGTCGATCTCCCGCTCCGTTCTTCCCCCATTCATGAACAAGATCCCCAGATACTTAAACTCCTCCACTTGAGGCAGGACGACCCCCCCTGACCCGGAGAAGGCACTCTACCCTTTTCCGGCTCAAGACCATGGCCTCGGATTTGGAGGCACTGAGCCTCATCCCGGCCGCTTCGCACTCGGCCGCGAACCGCTCCAGCGAGAGCTGCAGATCTCGTTCCGATGAAGCCAACAGGACCACATCATCCGCAAAAAGCAGAGATGCGATCCTAAGTCCACCAAAACGGATCCCCTCAACACCTCGGCTGCGCYTAGAAATTCTGTCCATGAAAGTCTTTTACGGTCTATTTATGGTGAAGTAGGSCCCCCAAAACAGTTCYTGCTTAGGGCCCCCAAATGTCTAAGACCGGCCCTGCAAAGGAATCAACTTGTAACTCGTGCAATAAACATCTGCTCCCACCAGATGTGACAACTTGTTTTTGAAGTTTATCTTAAAGCCTGCGTGTCATTTCACATCAACACCAGTGCTTTAACACCTACAGCTTTGCAGGTAGGATACACATGTTGGTTAGGATATTCCACAGGTTGTTGTGTCTGAAGGCCCCCTAATTGGGTATTGGCCATATTGCCATGCTAAAATCAAGGTGTCGTAGTCTCCTGCTCCTGTGTGAGTGCGGGTGAGAATTTCTCTGTTAGATACAGATCATCAAACAAACAATATACTCCTTATTTATAAATCTGGAGGGACACGACAGGGTCAGTGAAAAACACAAGCTGAGCAGTTTTACTTCAAATTTTCTGGTTCAGTTACTCGTTTTTCAAATGGTTTCCACGGTGCGCAGCTGCCTCTAAAACTAAAAACAACAACGTTTTAACACCTTCAACATTTACAGATGTTAAAATGTCAGCTGACACATCTGAGCCTCCCTGCTCACGCTGCTGATCCCCACGACCCAACTTTGTAACAAACAGCAGATGATGGATGGATGGATGGATGGATGGATGGATGGATGGATGGATGGATGGATGGATGGATGGCCTTATTTGTAGCAAAAGGCTTCTGTAGTTGTCTTCTTCTTTTTTATTTTTAAAATTCAGCTGTTGGAAGAATTTGGACAACTCTCTAAGATTAGCTAATATTATTGTAAGAGTTTATAGTTTTCTCAACTGACTTACAGAATGAGAAAGTACGTGTACTCTTTTAGTGCACTTTCATACACATCTTTGTACTAATTGACACTTCATAATGTACAAATATAAATGTTTGAATAGGAATTGCAATTTGATTGGAATATATTATTGCATTGAGGTGTAACTGACATGCAATAATTTGATTAAATTGGATCACATTTGAGTTGAACATGTTTAGTTAGACCTGACTCATGGGCTCCTTCTAGTGGTAAACAACAAAATATAAATATTCTTGTTTGTTTTGTTCACCAAAAAATATCTTCTATATTATTTGAGAAAAAGTTCATTTGCTTTTGTAATTATAATTTTAATTTTAGTGCTATTATCCACACGGGTTAAAGCTTCGTCACTATTTAAGTGGAGAAACAAAACCGGAACTTCCGCCCGGGCTAACCGGAAGTAGGTACGTGGCCGCTTCAGCTGACAGTCTACAATGATGGCGACGGAGGTTCAGAGCGGCGACCTCAACAGCGCTACGTCCAGCCGGCTCGAAGTTTCAATCGATGGCCTCACCCTCAGTCCAGACCCGGAGGGCGAGGAGCCGAACTCCGTCCCGTCTGAACCGCGGGCCGATACTCCGGCTGACTTTGAGGGCGAAGATGCAGAAAAATCTGCGATGGAGGGGAAGTGGGGCTTTCCTCTGCTGGAGCTGTACGGGATGGCCCTGAAATTTTTCAAAGGTATTCATATTACGTTTCTGAAAATAAAAAAAAAGCCTTGTATGATGCATGTAAATGTGTGGTTATTMTTTTCGGAAAGGTTGTAAAGTTGTGAGGCCAGTCGCGCTCTGAATGAGGTTAGCACAATGCTAATGTTAGCCGCTAACTGTCAACCGCAGCGTTATTAGCTTCTCAACCTGCTAGCTGACCGAGAAATTGTAAAACAAACTTGAAACTGTCGAGTTTCCCCTCTTTGTTTACATGTAGTCGAAATAAATTTCCTCCCGTTGTATTGGCTGGCGTTTCATTGCATCCGTGGGTTTTAAACAGAGTAGCACAGGTCACTTTGGGACGGACTGCTCCCATTATTGAGTGTGGTTTGCTGGAGAGGTTTAATTTAACACGGCCTGCCATTCATTGATGCAAAACGGGGAGGCATTAGAGCTGCATCTTAAGGTAGGAGAAAATATATTCTTGCTTCCGTGAAAAAAAATTTACGTTAAAAAAAGGTTTCTAATGGATTTTAAAACTGCTTCAGAGCATAAAAAGTTGCCGTCAGCATGAAAGTTTGATTTACAGCCTTAATATAAAACACTTTTCTGCCAACATAAAGACATAAATATGCTTCACACATTTTCATGTATTATGGAACACAGTTYATTACAATCTGGAGTAATTTCCTGATGCTAAGAGCTCTTTTTAAAAACTATTTCAGAAGATGTGTGACTGAACAAACAGGTTTAGGTTTACTTGACACTGCAATAGAAATCACTGCTTTGTGTTTTGTCAGTGTATCAGACAGGGTTAGGTGTAGATGTTTACCTACAGTTCTGCACAGAAATCCACTTCTTAGTTCTCCCTGGTTTATCTGGGTGTGACGACCTGATTTTGGGAGTGCACTGGCACTAGATGCTGGCCTTTAAATAGGACTAAAAGCACAAGTTTCCCTKTTAGCACACGCTCCTTTTTTCTGCTTGTTTTTGGTGTACGGGTCACATTGTTCTCGGTAGCAGTTTGAAGTGTGGGTGGGCCTTCAAACAGTTAAATAAATGCAAACTAATTTCTCTCACGCTGCTGCCCTGTGCTCTCAGATAAAGACGGCAAAGCCTTCCACCCGACGTATGAGGAGAAGCTGCGGCTGGTGGCCCTGCACAAGCAGGTGTTGCTGGGCCCCTATAATCCTGACGCTTTGCCGGAGGTCGGCTTCTTCGACGTTCTGGGCAACGATCGCAGGTAATTTTGAAAATTGTTAAAATTTCATATTTTATGATCATTTGTTTTCACTTGAAAAAGTGTCTTCCACCAAAACAGATAATTAAAATTTACATAGAAAATCCAAATTATTGGAAATAAACACATTTAAACAAATTTACATCTAAAACTGTTTAAGTTCAACTGAACTGGTGCTTTAACTTGTCTTTTATATTAGAGCTGGGCGATATGATCAAAATTTTATATCACGGTATTTTCAACATTTTCAC